TCGATAGATGTTTAAATTGTTCATAAGGACGTGTCTCATCCCTAGTTACATGTTCATATTGTTGCTTTCCGTCAACATTGTAAGGCCAACAACCATGATTAGAAGTTAGAACTGGCCTTGAATCCAAGTTTAGGAAGCTTTGGCTTGGGGTTTCAGATATATTAACATTTAGTTGAGCTAGTAAAAGTCAATGTACATGGGAATTAGTAGGTTTTAATTGTTCAATTGTTTTTCCTTGATTTAATTATTTTTTTGTATTTTCGTTTTCAAAAACTAATAATTTATGGGCCCGGTTTATTTATTTTGAATTCTAATGCTCTGATTCCATTTAGCCCGAGAAGATCGTAAAAAACTAAAAATGGATCTCTTTCTTGAAAATGGTCTAGGAAAGGAAACGCATGAAGGGCTATAGGCCAAGTTTAATAAGATTTCGTTCACATTTAACTAAAGCCCACCAAGATGTTTACTAGCTAGACATGCTCAATCAAAACTGCTAATTCGACTTTAAGTTGCATTAAATCCTTGATTCATACTATTAACCACTAAAACTAACGATTCAGTTTCTCGCCACATATATGTTTTATTATGTACGCGAACATCTATAAGGCCACCTGACCACCTTCATTGGTGGGTTTCTAAGTATATCTCACTTGTTAAAAAATAAAATATAAAATAAAAGCAGTAGAGAGACACAAACGGTTCTCAAACAAGAGACTATTAGAACTTCATGAGAACTCTACGGACACATGTCCTTTACTTAATGCCGGGCAACGTTTTTATTTAAAATATAATTTAAATACATAACTAAATTATATTTAAAATATTATTAATTTATTATTAAGAAACCCAAATGTGTATCTCCACTGATGGAGTTGGCCTAAATGGGGCTAGAACTCTCCATCGAAAGGGGTGGAACATTAATGATATGAGAATTTGAAGAGGTGATAAGATACTTTCAGAGAAATGTTAGACTCGCTTGAGAGCAAGATTTATCTTAAAACACTTGAATGCTCGTTATAAGGTATTTTAGTATTGTAAAGTCTACTGTCAGACGTAGTAGATATCTTATTGTACTTACTACTTAGTGGATGTACTAATCAAGGCACGAGAGATATCTTTGTGGAAGACTAGGGACTCTACTCCAGCCATATGTCCTGGATGTCCGTCCACGTGGTTTTCTTTTGTCCTGTGTTTTTTTTTTCTAAAAAAAATAACCTAAGTGTATATGTGTATTGGTCGTGTACTTTTATTTCACTTCTTGATTAGGTGAAGGCAATGTATCACATGATTTTTTTTTCATTTTTTAGATTTTTCGTATGATGGACTGATTGACACTTCCTGCTAAACCCGGTACGTGTATCTGAATCGTCACCAAAGCATCTAGCGTGAGAGTCAGGATTCCCTTTAAGATTCCATATCTGCGATAGGGGAGAGGTTTGTGGTTTGAAAATAAGAAAAAAAAACATATTCACCACTAGAGCAAAACTAGCATCCTCTCGTAGTGTTGCTATACAAAATTTGCTTTATTCTAGTAACATAATTTGGTGTGCTTTCTACTTTTTATTTTAACTTTTAAAATTTATTTGTTTTGTTTATAATTTTAGATTTTGAGTAATTCTAATTGTTGCATTTTGGCGTGAAACTTTTAGTTATGTGTCGCACACTCACGTGTGAAGCGCTCTTATCTTTCAGGAAAAGTTTCTCGTTTTATCTTGTTCATAAGAGAGATTTAGTTGCACATTAACTAGTTGTTATCACGTGTTTTCTCCTTATTCGCCGGACATGCAATTTACATGGTGTGTCGCTTTGTTCCCACTATTAAATGATGACATGCAAAACTTAGGGACTCGTTGCTTTGTGGTGAACGGCTTGAAGAGAATTTTATCACTTTGGTTTTTGTTCATGCCCAGACCTTTTCAAACGCCGCTTTGCGCTTTTTATATAAAATGCATGGATATTTAAGTTTTGTCCTTAAACTATCCATTCCTTCACTTTCTTTAGATAAATATAATCTTCGAACGATCTAAGGCTTGTTTATGCTTCTATTTAGCTTTGTTTCTCTGCTACTGTCATGTTAGAAGGTTGGTAAAGGCTTCCGCCATATTTCCATCTTCGGTCCATCTTTTTCTTGAAAGTTCTAGAGGTTGTTCGGCCAACAACCTCATTTATTAGGCTATGTAGGGTGGTCTTCGTAGGACATTAAGGTTGGTTTAGTTATATTATGTTTCTTCATTAGTGGTGGTTGATTATGTATTCCAACCCCATCTTGGATCACTCCTTTCATCCACAATCAATACAATAAAAACAATAGGGATCTCTCCTACGTTGACACATCAGCTTTTTCAGCTGTTCTGAGAGTGACACCTAATTAAAATCAACACCCAATAAAAACATTTTATTAATACAACTCAGCTATTCTCTGCCAATTATAATACTCCTTCGTTCCACGTCATTCTTTATTTCTTAAAGCTTATATCATGGGCTTATAGTTTAAAATTGATGTGCCTATTATTGTTTATATGTCATTGACATATTAGGCTAATTCTCTTTTTTTATAAATAATAAAAACTTCTTTAGAATATTAGAAAAAACAAAATAGATATCGATAAATGAAGGCATTCCTTGTGGTTATGGAAACTATACGGAAAAAAAGTTGTTGTTTTGGCTACCAGTAATTATAGTTTTTTTTTTCTTACCTTGGATTTATTTGATTCTTCAGCAATGTCGTTTTTTTATATAAAAAAAATAAATCAAATATAGTGCTTAATGAATTTGCGGTTTCAAATTATTTAAAAATTTTTGTGAGCGTAGTAATTCATATTATTCAAACATAGATTAAACTTTGTAAAAATTGTTTCAATTGGTAATATTCAAAAGAAAGTCACATTAGCTACACAATTTGATTAGTTGTAGAAGACATATAAGACTATTTTGAATTTGAGTAAAAAATATTTAGAAAAACTTACATATATGTATCAAACTGACGAATGAAACTTGAGAAATTTTTTGTGCTTCAAAAATAATAAAATATAGGAAGAAAGTCTCTAGAAAAGTCCATTGAGTTCTTCACGATGAAACTTTTGTTGTTATCACTCAAAGAAACAATTGAATCAAAAGAGGAAATCATCTACCATTTCATGTGTTTTAGGAAGAAAATGTGGACGTGAACTTAAGCCTCCATCCTTAAACAATACAAATCCAAGACGTTGAAAAACAAACCAAACTCAAATATAAACTTATTGCTCAGAATCAGAGATTAAATCAATAAAAGTATAAACTTTTAGGTTTCTACAAAACCAGATTCAAGTATTTAGATCAGAAGATTATATTTCCTCTCAAGATAACAACACGAATCGATGTCTCAATATTTAAAAAACACACATAATTGATAAATAAAAACCAAGAGTTTCTCACACAAGCCATGAAATTTATTGAGTGGAGAGAACCTAAAACGTTTGCCCACTTGTATCAAATTAAACACCAAACCAAATCTTCCAATGGATCTACAAAATCCGTTATACCAAACTCCTTAATTTATCCCCAAATCTATCCAAAACCAATAACAGACAACACAAAATGATAAACAAATTCCTTCTGCTTCTCCAACCAAATTATTTAAAATTAGACAAGAGGATCAATCAACAATTTAAACATTTCTATTCATCTCATGTTTCTGATTTGGAAATTGTCAAAACATACCAGATGATGACTGCAGAAAATTTGACTTCATACCTTAATGCTAATGGGGGAAAACCAATTTTCAAAACCTCATGATTTGATTGATTGAAGAAACAAACATACAGAGATGAACACTTTTTTTCTTTACTAATGGTAGAAGATGATTTATTGGTAGGAGTAGAGATGAAGAGAAAGTGTGGATTGCGAAAGAGAAGAACGATTTTTGGATTCTCAGAAATGATGAACTGGTTATCTAAATTGCATATTCTCATAGAGATTTTTTTTCCCTTTTTTAGAGTTAATTAAACTAAATCAATCTAATTTTATTTAATTAATTAGAAAATACAAAAAATCTAAAGCTCCAAATCAAGTGTAACATTGGTAAATGATTACGTATTAGTATTTATAATATTATTAATTAATGAAATAAATAAATACATTGGGTTATCAGTTCGGATTGAGAAGAAACATAATCGATGGTTTGAATGTAACTTATGGTTTGGTTTGGTTTAGTTCAATTCGGTTAAAATATCCACCCTAATAATATTATCCCGATCTATTCAAAAATCAAATTATTTTAAAGTTAAAAAATGTAATAGTGTTCAAATTTTAAAGAACAAAATACACACAAAATAAACTTTGCATATTTAATTATTGTGATCTAATGGTAAAATAATTATTTAAAGAAACAAAAGATATATTAATTATTTTTAGTATGATTCAAATTATGCTTGAGTACTATAAATAAATTTAAAAGAAAGAATCTAAGGTTTTTAAAGTATAGTAGTGGCTGAAAAAATAATTACATATCACAATATAAAAATCTAACATTTGTAAAAAATTAAACATATACTAAAAACATTAAATAAAACAAACAAATACAAATATAAAGTTATTTATTTATGTATGCATATATAAAATATAAAATATAGACAACTGAAATACGAGCAAAGGTAAATACAAAATCCAAGAAATCTTTTAAATGTCTATCATAAATACTTATATTAAAACAAATTAATTTACAAAAACGGTAGGAGCATATCCTTTCTTTGATTAACCGATGGAATAGAATGTTCCTTTTTTGTACCGGACCACTTGTTAAATTTACCTCATGCATGTTGTTCTCTAAAAATTACTTGATGTCAAACAACTTCTTCAAAAATAAATTTTTAAAAATTTGCCCTGCAGCGTAGCGCGGGTTTCGATCTAGTTTAAAAGATAAATACACCATATTTTAAATAATAATGTGAACATATATAAATTTATAATATAATTTGAATTTAACTTCAACAAATAAAACTTTTCATCTCACATATAAGTTAATAATTATCATAAAGCATAATTAAGCAATAATTGATATATTAAGTAAAAATTTATCCTAACATAGTATTAAAATTTGTAGTCAAATAGCCAGCAAAATGACAACACATATGTGGACCCTTTAACCACTATATAAATATTTGTTTTACAGTAAAAATAATAATAATACACATAAACCATAGAAAAAAATCATTTAGTGTAGTCATGGCAAGAAAGAAGTTAAATCTAACTTACATTTCCAATGATAGAATGAGGAAAAGATCATTCAACCAGAGGAGGGAAGGATTTATGAAGAAACTCAATGATCTCAAGATTTTATGCGATGTCAATGCATGTGCGGTCATCTACAATCCATTCAACTCAAATCCAGAGATGTGGCCGTCAAAATCAGAGGTGGATAACGTTATCAAGAAACTCAAGATGTTAACGGAGACCCAGAAGAAACTTAAATCGGTAAACCACGAAGAATTTCTCAATCTATACATCTCAAAAGTCGAAAAGCAAAGTAAGAAATTGATTGTGGATAATAAAGAGAATTGCTTAAAGGAGGTCATGTTCAAGTGTCTTAGTGGAAACATGGGAGATTTTGTTATGACTAATAATGATCGTCTTGACTTGTGTAAGTTTATTGATCAATATCTTAGAAATCTTTATCATCATAAAAATGAAACCCTCAATAATCCAAATTTTGAAATTGGAGAATCTTCTTCAATGGATATGGCACCAACCACTACTATTGCAAACATGGCACCAACCACTACTATTGCAAACATGGCAACAACTGTTGTGGATGAGGGCATGACACCACCTATTATTCCTGAAGTGAGTTCCTCCTCATTTCTGAACTCTCCACTCTTCAACTCTCCTCAGCTAACCAACGGGTTGCAGTTCATAGTCTCTCCAAACCATAGACTAGAGGATGTTAATCTAGCAAGTAATCTCTTTTTCAGTGACGCACAAAACATTTGTAGTCCAGCTATGAATCAGGTTTGTATGTTGTAATTATTCTATATATTTTAAATCATATATATTTGATTTTTCTAATATTATACTTTTCTCAACTAACCAAATAATTGCAGTTCATAACCCCATCAAACCAAGGAGCAGAACATGTGAATTTTCTTGAAAGTAATTTCCTTCCTAATAACAATCAAGAAGTTTATATCCCAGCTATGGATCAGGTTTGTATTTTTGATCATCATCCATATATTTTAAATCAAAATTGATATGTGTGTTATAGTCTCCGACTCTCCTAAACTAACTAAAAATGTGCATTACATATATAATATCTTCAAACAAGGGATCAAAGAAATTTAATTCTCTTGTGAATAACAACCAAGAAAATATATACAAATCCGTGATGAATCAAGTTGTAGTTTTGACTAATATTCATGTATTTTAAACTCATTTTTAACATAAACATCAATATTGTTATTCGATTGTGTTTCAGGATGACTTTTCCTATCCAAATCAAAATCATAATGAGAACCAGCAACAAAGATTCATTGACGAGATGATGAAGTATGATGAGAAAACAAGTTTTCCTTGGATTGTAGACAACAACTATTACAATCACAACCAGTAATAAAGCACATTCATCAACGCAGATGTCAATGCCAACGATGTTATATTTTCATTTTCATTTTTAAAGATTTTCTTAATGATGAATCGTAGAGTCTGATGTCTTATCTTTTAGTTCATCAAGTTTTAGTTTGCTAACTAATATGTTTTCTATAGATTCTCGTTTGTTTGTGTCTTAAGAGTTTGTGGATTCAAACCCCTCTTGATTCTGTTCCGCCGTTTCCGCATGTTAACCGCTGAACTCTTGATCAACCGTGTGTTCTAAGATTTGGTGGATTCCGATCTTGCATAAAGTCATCGTTATTGTACAAGAAAGGAGTCATCTACCCTCCGTAAACAAGTATGAGATATTCATAATTGTACTTAGAAAAGGAGAGAAATCTTAGCAACGGCAAATAGGAACTCTACCGGTATCGGAAACCATTGTTGGAGAGGTGATCTCGAGAATTGAAGATGAAATTTGTATTAACAACTACTAAACTTGGTTTCCAAAAACATGTAATTCTATAATGTATGTTTGAAAAGATCAGTAATTCACTATATCTAATAAATGGAAAAATTGTTTCATAACTAACTTGAGAAACAAAATCATGGAAGTCCCTTTTTCCTAAAAATGAGAAATTCTTTTCCGAATCTTTTGACATATGTTTGGTCTTTTTAACCCTTACCAATGATGAACATAACTGAAATATCACTCACCAACATCATTACAACATATGACCTTTGCCCAATTCGTTCACTTTTAGTTCGTTATTATGGCAACCAATATCAATAATTATCACTTTTCTTCACCAGGCGATTTTAACATTCCCACAACATTCCCACTACATTACAATTTTAGAAACTTCCCTTTCCTTTTTTTATAATTTAATTGTTGATTTTTTTCAAACTAATAACCTTAGGGTTAGAATACGAAATTAGCTGCTTGTGGTATACATTAATTATGTGAAAGCAACACTCTTTTATTTAATTAGTCTTATTTGATAATGAACAAATAAGAAGTTGTACCACAGTAGATTAATTTATGTGATCGAGTTTGCGGCCTAAAAAAAGAGAATTTATTTTTCGAATCTTTTGAATTAGTAATTTGATGTAGTGCTGAAATTACAAATTTAGGTCTACGTTAATTTATTTGTAAAATTGCATTGGTTAATTTATGACAGAAAATAGTTTGGTGGGTCTGATTTTTGTAGGTAGCAAACTGAATCTAAAAATGATTAAGTTTCAAGACTACCAACTATGGTGCTATAACAAGTCTAGTAAAATGAAGAAAGGCATTGGCTAGTTGCCCCAACAAATTTGCTGGCTTTGGAATACCCAAAATTAGTATTTGTAATATGAAAAAATCTTTAAATACTCCTACTTCGTTTTTTGTATTATATGATAACTAGATAACAATCCGCACGATGTGCGGGATGAAGTGATTTAAGTAAAATTATTATGATTAAAATTATTATCCGGGATCCAAGATCCGTTTGTGTAAAACGAAACATTTTACAAATTTTTTTTTGTTTTATTCAAACTTGGGACTATTTCATATAAGAATATGTTTTACCCGTGAAATATTTGAACCTTGAATAAAGCTTCAACATGATAAAAAAGTATTGACGAAATTTTACCATTTATGTTGGTGTCGGATCCCGCACCAGAAGTCCGAGACCAACCAAAGATTGCCACGTAGTCAAGATAATGGCCCATAGAGGATAAAGCCCATTGGACCCGTGAGCCGAAGGAACGGTCGAAGTGGTTATCACCACTTCGAGAATCCGAAGTGACTGGACTGTGACATGAGTTCGGTGTAGAAGACACGGGTAAGTCGGTTCAAGGACACTTGGGCCGAAAAGGCGAGGCCCACGAAGATCAGAGTCAACTCAAATTCAAACGTTGAGCATTAAAGTCAAGGAATCAAAACGGACACATTTAAGAAGGAATAATTGTACTTAATTACTCATTTTAATGTCGTTTCTCTATGTATAAATATAAAAGCCAATGGCCATGTAAAGGGGGATCTTCCTAAGAAGAAAGAAATACTAGAGCAATTTTCGTAGCAATTTATAAGTTTTTACATATCCATTTTTGTCCCTCAAGAGTAATCTTTCCTACCTAATAAAATACTTGAGTGTGTGAATCCGACATCCACATTTTGGCGCCGTCTGTGGGGAAATAGGATTCTTGAGTGGTCAGATTTTTTCTTTACTACATTCCCGAGATAAGCAACAATGTCCGGAGTAGACGCCGTTGAGACATCATTGGCCGAAACCCTCAAAGCTATGCAGCAAACCATGTCGGACATATCACAAAAGTTCTCGGATGTGGAAAAGGCCGTCGATACGTTGCAAACATCCCAGGTATCTCTTAGTCAAAACGTCAATACTATACAAACTCGTGTTCGCTCTTTAAGTGCAGGAAACCTTGTGGGAATCCGAAGAGGGATATTCAACTCGCCAAGCTCCGCTGTACGAAATGAAACCAGCGGACAAACAACTCCCGGTGCTACTAATAATGTAGCTCAGACGTTGGAAGAAGAGACACAGCTCGGAGATGAAGAACAACTTGCAGCTCAATACGAGCAGGAGGACCTCGACCAGTTCGAGACCATGAGGAAGGTTAGCCAGGAATTAAAAGAAATGAAATCAAAATTTCATCAAGCTACAAACTCAGAGCCAGACATCAATCGAGTCATTGAAGAAGCTAGGCGAACACCTTTCATCTCGCGAATTGCAAGTTTGAGGATCAAGGATTCCCGGAAACTCAAGTTGGACCCTTACAGCGGATTGGAGGATCCAAAAAGCTATCTCGCAGCTTTTCTGATCGCTGCTGGAAGAGTCGAATTGGATGAAGCTGATGAGGACGCAGGTTACTGCAAGCTTTTTTCGGAGAATCTATGTGGCCAAGCTCTAATGTGGTTCACCCAATTAGAGCCGGGTTCGATCAGTAATTTCGACGAACTATCAGCCGTATTCTTAAAGCAATATTCCATCCTTATGGATAAAAACGTTTCGGATGCCGATCTTTGGAACTTATCGCAAGGGTCAAGTGAGTCACTTCGAGTTTTCATCACCAAGTTCAAAGGAGTGCTGTCAAAGCTCCCAAGAATCTCGCAGCAATCAGCTTTATCTGCCCTACGAAAAGGATTGCGACATGATTCAAGGTTTAAAGAAGACTTAATACTTTATAAACCAGACACAATTCAGGATGCACTCTTCCGCGCGAACAACTGGATGGAGGTAGAGGACGAAAAAGAAAGTTTTGCCAAAAGAAATAAGCAAGAAAAGCCGGCAATCACCGTCCCTACCAAGAAGTTCGAGCCTAGGGAGAGCAAAGGACCAAGGAAATTTGGGTCGTAACCCTTCAACAGTACCGTCGGAAAGCAATTCCAAGGGAAAGGAAGATCAAACACTTGGGTCCGTGACGAAAGTCATATTGCGACATTCATAAAGTAACCGGACATTTAACCAAGGATTGCAGCGTTCTTAAAAGGCACCTCGCAGAGCTTTGGGCTAGTGGAGATCTTTCCAAATTTGATATAAAAGATTTTGTGAAGGAATACCACGAAGCAAAGGAAAGTTCCAAAGATCAAAATTCTAAAAGACCAAGGTTAACCAACGAGGAAGAACCAAGGAATTCTAAGGGTAAGATCAATGTTATTCTAGGAGGTTCCAGATTTTGCGGAGATTCGATAAGTTCCATCAAGAAACATAGACGAAATATCCTACTCAAAGCAAGCTTAAGCGAAGAAGTCGATTTTCAAGGTGCATCAATATCATTTAATGAAGAAGAAACGCGGTACCTCGAAAGACCTCATGATGATGCTCTAGTCATTACCCTCGACGTTGCCAACTTCGAAGTATCAAGGATCCTTATAGATACAGGCAGTTCGGTCGACTTGATCTTTTTAAGTACTTTAGAAAGAATGGGAATCAGCCGAGCAGACATAGTGGGGCCTCCGTCTCCATTAGTTGCATTCACAAGTGAATCAGCCATGTCTCTCGGGACAATCAAGCTACCGGTCCTTGCCAAAAAAGTATCGAAGATCGTGGACTTCGTTGTCTTCGATAAGCCCGCAGCTTACAACATCATCCTTGGTACTCCTTGGATTTATCAAATGAAAGCAGTCCCCTATACATATCATCAATGTATCAAATTTCCAACGTCAAAAGGAGTGGAAACAATTCGGGGAGATCAAGAAGCTTCACGGACGTGTTATCTAGCTAGCCACCGTATGAAAATTCAATAGCAATTAACGAAGCCCGCAAAAGAGGGACTAAGAACAAAATTTCCTAGCGGGCAGAAGAAAGATGATGTAGTAGTCGAAGTGGTGTTGGAAGAAGACAAGCCGGACCGGAAAATTCGAATTGGGGCAACTTTGACTGGCCAAATAAAAGAAGCTTTGATCGAACTCTCAAGGAAAAACAAAAAATCGTTTGCATGGTCAGCAGCGGACATGCCTGGCATAAATCCAAGTATAATTTGTCATGAACTAAACGTGGATCCAAGCTTCAAACTGGTGAAACAAAAAAGAAGAAAGCTTGGAGTGGAGCGAGCAAAAATAGTAAACGACGAAGTGAATAAACTTTTGAAGATAGGGTCCATAAGAGAAGTGCAATATCCGGAATGGGTGGCAAACACTGTCGTTGTCAAAAAGAAGAATGGGAAAGATAGGGTTTGCATCGATTTCACAGACCTAAACAAAGCATGTCCCAAAGATAGTTTCCCGCTCCCACATATAGATCGCCTTGTAGAGTCCACCGCTGGGAACGAGCTGTTAACATTCATGGACGCCTTATCGGGTTATAATCAAATAATGATGAACCCCGAAGATCAAGAAAAGACGTCATTCATCACTGATAGAGGTATCTATTGTTACAAGGTAATGCCTTTTGGTTTGAAAAATGCAGGAGCAACTTACCAACGGTTGGTGAACAAAATGTTTCACAATCACCTCGGAAAGACTATGGAAGTCTACATAGATGATATGTTGGTTAAATCGTTAAAGAAAGAAGATCATGTTAAACATTTGGAAGAATGTTTTGATATTCTCAATAAATATCAAATGAAGCTGAACCCGGCGAAGTGCACATTTGGAGTCCCATCCGGAGAATTTCTT